GTGATATTCTGATCATAGGCATATAGTCTAACAATGGTCACAATTCAAAAATTCTAATCAATAGTACATCACAGCCACAAAACAGCACTAAGACTGGCTTCACAAACCCACCCAACACCAATCAAAGCCTACACATGCTCATTACAACGTAAGGTAGAACTACATCTGCACAGAAATAGATTGTTTTAACAAGACATTCATGGTGAAAAGGAACAGACCAACAGGTCTCTTCATTAGTTTATTAACATTGAAATTTTGTCTACATACATTACCATACTCAATGCTCTCTGACAAGCTGAAATATTTTTTCCATTCCATTATGTAACTCAATTTATATTAATGCCCAAAATTAAATGTGAAAATCTTTTTAGTCTAAAAATATTATTTTGTATCATTTGACGTTTCAACAAGTGCTGCAAACAGTTTCACAGAAAAATAAATAAATAATTGTGCTGCCCACGGGCTAGATTGCTAACATTTCCAATTTGACACATTTAGTGAACCTTGTAATACAATGGTAATACATTGCTTCCCTAAAGAATATCATAAAGTAGCATTATATGCTTCTAATAGGTATTAAAATGTCATATCTGCCAGCGTATACTACAGGTATCTGGTACAATCAATAATGAATCATTTACCTCCCTTTTGAAATACTGTAATTATAACATTAAATTTTCTCTAAACTGTTTACTTGCTTTAATTTTTTTCTTTCATTAATTAACTTGTAAATGACATAGTATAAGTTTATCACCAAACAATGTTCTGAATGAAGGCACGACTCTACAGGCAACAGATAAGAAACATGGAATTTCAGAAATCAAAATGAGCACCAGTCTGTATGTTTTCCTTGTTTACAAACATAACTACTTTTATTACGCTTTGGCATTTTTATACAATATACTATTATCAAAACAATTACTATCCAAAAATTGGAAAAACACTGTCTGCATTCATTTTTTTTTTACATGGAATGTAATGAAGCAGTCCACAAAAATGTGACCCTGGACCACAAAACCAGTCATAATGGTCATTTTTTTTAAATTAGATTTTTTTTTGGAAAATGAATAAATAAGCTTTCCATTGATGTATGGTTTGTTAGTGTAGGACAATATTTGGCTGAGATACAACTATTTGAAAATCTGGAATCTGAGGTTGCAAAAAAAATCAAAATACAGAGAAAATTGCCTTTAAAGTTGTCCAAATGAAGTTCTTAGCAATGCATATTACTCATCAAAATTTATGTTTTGATATATTTACAGTAGGAAATTTACAAAATATCTTCATTAAACATGATCTTTACTTAACATCCTAATGATTTTTGGTATAAAAGAAAAATAAATAATTCTGACCCATACAATGTATTTTTGGCTATTGCTAGAAATATACCCGTGCTACTTAAGCCTGTTTTTGTGATCCAGGGTCACGAATATAGAGGTCTGTCAGTGTGTGTGTTTTTTGCATCGTTTGGCTCGGGTCTCTCTCTCAGTGTGTGGTTGTGAAGTGGACTGATTTTGAGCACTGAGGGATTGCAGGGCTTGAACTCGCTGTAGGCGTTTACTGAGCTCACTTTCACATGCCTGGACCAGTGCTGATGTCCTTTCACCGTCCCAGCCCAACACCTCCATCATGACCTCCACTCCATGCCCCGCCACCATCTGCATAAAAAATACATCCATATGAGACAATAACACTAAACCATATGCTTTTAAATATGCAAAGACAAACATGTCCCTGATTTTATTACATAATTACTATTTTATAAAATAACATAATTATTAATTTTTTTTTAAATATTTTTTTTATCAAACTGAATAACAGATTAATTATACTCCTGTGGCTGAAAACAGTAAGAGACCCCTACTGATATATGACTGAAAGTTCAGTCAACATGACACCAAAATTAACCCTAAGCAACGTCTACTTTTCACAAACCAATCAATTCCTGATTGATCAAATCAAGTTCTGCCTTATTTTTTTTCTAGTTGAATATTCTGTTTCACTCTGAAATGTTGTATTACGCAGGAAGAACAGACTTTGAATGATGTTCATATTGACTTCCACTCTCTGGTGTGAAATAATGATAAATATGCTTAGTTTTTACACCATTCTTAAGAAATTGTGGGAGGTCTTACAACACTGTCAGATGTCATACCTGTAGCTCTTCATTGGATAGTCTGGTCTCTGGGTATTTTTTGTCCTTCAGGAGCATTAGTGTTGTGGAGCTGAACACTGCTGCGGCCTCCACCTGCACCCCATCTGTCTCATCAAGTCTAGCGCCTGCAGCAATGACAGTGGTTAACATCCTGAAAGCACTGGAAAGATTAGGGCTGTCACAGCAACAGATAAGCTGTTGATCATCCAAGCTGCTACTTTTCTTCATTCCACCAAGTACTGATAAAATGACTTAGAAATGGCTCAGCGATGCCATCTAGTGGGAGCAGAGTCAAAGCAACATTGAAGGAATAGTTCACCCAAAAATGAAAATTTGCTGAAAATGTACTCACCCTCAGGCCAACCAAGATGTAGATGAGTTTGTTTCTTTATCAAAACAGATTTGCATAACTTTAGCATTACATCACTTGCTCATCAATGGATCCTCTGCAGTGAATGGGTGCCGTCAGAATGAGAGTAATGATAAAAACATCACATTAATCCACAAGTAATCCACATGACTTCAGTCCATCAATTAAACATCTTGTGAATTGAAAAGCTGCATGTTTGTAATAAACCAATCTATTATTAAGATGTTTTTAACTTTAAACTGTTGCTTCTGGGTAAAATAGGAGTGTTCTATCCGTAAAATTGCTTTCTCCATTAAAAAGAAGTCTTCTTGTCTAAATCAGGAGAGATATATGCACAAATCAAAATGGTTCTAAACAAATATGTTGGTGGATTTTGATATGAGATAAGAAGGCATGGACTTTTTCACTGTCTGAAACTTTTATGGATTATGGGCCCGCATTCTGGTCAGAAACAATGGTTTTAAAGTTAGAATGCCTTAATGGTGAATTTGTTTCTTACAAACATGCAGCTTTTGGCTTCACAAGAAATTAATTGATGGATTGTAGTTGTGTGGATTATTGTGATGTTTTTATCAGCTGTTTATACTCTTATTCTGACAGCACCCATTCACTACAAAGAGGATCCATTGGTGAGCAAGAGATGTAATTTTCCAAAATTTGTTAAATGAAAGAAAAAAAAACTAAGGAACCATTCCTTTAAATAACTTGCTGTGACTTTACTTGGGAATTTTTCTTGTATTGCTGGTATCTAAAATATGTCCCTACTATCTTCTTGTGGGTCCCAGGTGCTTTCTCGCTCCATGGCTTTCAAATAGAGCCTCAGTAACTCTTTGGACTGTCTCTCTTCTTCCCTGCGGTCCAGCATTCTCTGCAGCGTGTCCTGTAGGACCTGGGTTTTCTGCTGTGAGAAGTCCAACACTGCAGCCAGATCTGAGCATGGCACATCAATCAAACTCTGTAACACACATTTATACAATTATTCTCTGTAAACCACAGTACAACATTGGCTGTTTACACACTATAATCATACATGTAAATGATAATAGTCAGATATATCGCAAAATAAAAAGCCACTAAGCCAGAATCACACAGACCTGTAGATCTGCCTCGGACATGAGGATAATACTGGCCAGGTCCTGTCTGAGCTGTTCTGCCAAACTGCGCCAAGATTCAAACCCATCAACAGTGTCTTTTCCATCTACCTCCAAATCAGTGGACTTTCTGCAAGGCTGTGCTGTCCCTCCATCAACTAGACAAAATAGACCTGTTTAGATTAGAAAGTGTGCTGAACAAATATATATAAATAAATACATTAAAAAAAATCCTGGAATAGGTTATATTTCACCTTGATGAGAATGCATCCATATTTCGTCGGCATGCAACAGCGTGAATTTTGTATTTGCTGGCAGACACATGAAGTAAGCCTCATCTTCCACAATAGTCCCATCAACTTCTAGCACCACTGAGACTGATGCACTGGGACTGAACCCTAGAGCCTCACCACCTGTGGGTGACAGAGATGAGGAGAATGTGTCAAATAACAAATAACTGTCAACTTTTAAAAACAGAGAGAGAGAGAGAGAGAAATTAAACAATCCTGAATCAATTCCGAAAACATAAAAAAAAAATATATTTGTAAATGTTGAATTATTAATTTGCTATATATATATATATATATATATATATAATTTAGTTTATAATTTTCATTATTATTACTTTAATTACTAATAAGTAATATTACTAATATTATTTATCTATAGTCATCTTTAAGTTCTAAAATTATTTTAAACTTGACTCTAACGTATATTTTCAAATTATGCCTACTACGAAAAACACTTTAAATTACCACTGTTTAAAATGTGCAATATAAATAATCTATTTCATAATTTAATCTGAAAAGGCTATTTACTCCGTTCAGGCTGAAAACTACTTTATTTTCAAACACACCTTTTATTTTGAGCTGATCCAGAGAGGTTACCGCCAGTCCATAATGCTTCTCTCGGCTAATGTTACACACTTTACACGCTTTTAATTCTGCCATGATAATAGTCAAAGTTTAAAGTTTATAATTAAGTATCTTCAAAGCTTCATACTTTGTTCTTGGATATTATTTTTGTGTCTAAAACCTCAACTCACATTACACGTAATACTGTCACTATCTGTCTCACAAAAAAATTGAAAATAAATACATTTCGGCTTCCGTGTTTTGAAATGTGCTGATCGAATCGGTAACAGCTCTTTGACCTTGCGATGTGAATGAATCGTTCTTTTGATTCAAATCTTTTAAATGAATTAATTGAACCGATTCACAAAGACGGACTGAGCTCTTGTTAACTTTTTTGATCTCGTTCTTTGAAACGAACAGTTCAAAAGAACCGATCAATGCAAATGACTCGAACTTCATATCACTAGTTCAGACTAAAGTAATCGAGCACTGCTGAAGAATCAGCGTCCTCCTTAGCCTATAGCCTTCTGGCTAACAGCTCTGAGAAGATGGCATCCTCGGACCAACCTGACCACCAAAATCAGGTAGTTGATAACATTCATCCGTCTAACAACATGCATTCGGATTGTTCGGCCGTGGACCTGCATAGTAAATGCACAATTTGGCACGCTTTAATTATTGATAAAATCATAATCTGGCAGTCCCATATTGTTTTGGAAAAGTTTTAGCTGATTTGCTAGCGCCCTGTTCACTGTCTCATCCCATGCAGTTAGACAGATGTGTGTGACAGGTGCAGGCAGAGAGAATAGCGCATACAGGACATTCCACTGCAGATATCAATGTGTCAGTCTCTGTGAAATAATACAAGCGCTATATGGACAATTATCCAGTAATGTGCAGTCAGGGGTCGTTGACCTAAAAACATGACACATGACACATTCATCCCTCCATGTGCTCATCTGTGTCAGTAAAGAACTCAATTTGATCTGTTTACAGCCGACATATAAGCATTATTTATGCAATGTATCAGCAACGAATTAAAGGGATAGTTCAACCAAAAATGAACAGTCTGTCATCATTTACCCACCTTCTTGTTGTTCCAGACCTAAAGGTATGTTAGAGATATGATACTTTAACATATTCAGGGGTGATGCAAAATAGTTGAAAAATCAGTAATTAAAAAAAAACTCATCAAAGTATGTAAACACATTCTTGACTGAATTAGTATCAGAACATGTCTCTTATTTGTTTCAGTCTGTGTGCTTATATGTATTATATTTCTAATAATTTATAATGAAGATATTTAGAAATTATATGAATTGACATTATTTCATTAATTTTATTTTTATATTTATTCTTTTTTATTAATACTTCAATCCGTTAATTCAACTTTTGTTACTTATATTTTTATTTACCCATCTTCTAAAATGTTAAACTTGACTCGTACTCATATTTTTCTTTAAATTATATAAAGTACTTTGAATGATTAAAGCTTAAAATGTGCTATATAAACCAACAAGTAATAAAAGGGATAACAATCTTTCATCATGTTTTAATTATTTTAATTGGGACACAAGACCAGATGTTAGGCAGAATGACATCCTCAATCACTATTCATTTCCAGTGCATCTTTTTTCCATGATTTTATTTTATTTTTTCAACTGATGACAGACTTTTCATTTTTGGGCTTGCAATCTTATTAACTAAATGTTCTTAATGAATTTAATGTCTCAGCTTGTCTCAGCAGGATGTGGATCTTGCATTATTATTCCTGTACATTTTCCTCTATTAAAATACTGTTATGGAAACGTTTGTCATAAATACTTGCATAGCAAATATATTAATTTTATGACTGTTTAAGATATGCTTATTTTTAATTAGTTTTTTTTGGAAGTATGTTGTGTTCTGAAGCTGAGTTTTGTTCGATCAGTGTATCAACCCTGTTGGTGTGTGTTGGTGCAGTGTGAAAAGAATTCTTATCACGCTAAATCTGTTGCCATCTTTAGAGTGTTTGAAGTGTGTCTAACCAGCCTGGATAAGAAGTTAAGTGTGATGATATTTGGTCTGTTTTTGAGAGTAATGAGATGCCTTTAGTTACAATCAGGTTTTGAAAAGTATTACAGTGTATAGACAGCTAAGGTTAGTGGAACTTGAGTTTAACCTTTTTCAGGCTCAGGGAGAGGCAAATTTAGTTTTGTATGGGCAAAGAGACATAAGGACAATTAATCAATGTGCCATCAGTTTATCTCAGACTTACTATAGGTAGATCCTATCTTGGATCCTATCATTTCAGCCCTTAATTTGCTCTTTGATGATGCTATTTATTAGGGCTGTACGATATTGAAGAAAAATGCGATATGCGATAACTTACAGAGCGCACGCATACATTACGTGAAGTCTAGACTAGTGCGTGTGCATTTAGAGTGCGTTCTTTCACTGCACGATTCAGTCTATTAAAAATATATATATATACGGTTATTTGTATGTATGTATGTATCAAGAGCTCCTGTAAAACCACAACAAATTCCTTGTTTGCACACACTTAAATGGTGAATAAAGCTCATTCTGATTCTGATTCTAATAAGAAAGCAGCCCTACAACAACTTCTGAAAGTGAACGGTAGTGTTTTACTCTAGCATTACATAAAAATTTCATTTTAACATTAGTGTAATCATTTTAACATAAGTTTAGGAACTGAATAATAAAAAGGAAAAATACAATGCTTATTTACTCTATGAATTCAATATGCACTGATTCTTATTTAAGCTATAAAAGTTATTTAGGTAAGAGCAGTGAGTTATTTTCGCTTAGTTTTTTGTTCATGGCCCCCTATATTGCAAGCTGCAGCGATATGCATATTGCGATATGTATATTTGCGATATTTCGATAATTTTGATATATTGCACAGCCCTGCTATTTATTGTGATTCATTTAGGAGGTATATATATATATAAAGGAGGTGGCTTTGTACACTACCATTCAAAATGTTGGCATTGGTAAGACTTTTTAATGTTTTTGAAAGAAGTTTCATATGCTCACCAAGGGTGCATTTATTTATTTAAAAAAGACAGTAAAAATCATAATATAGTGAAATATTGTTGCAATTTCAAATAACAGTTTGTTTTTGTAATTTATTCCTGTAGTAGCAAAGCTGAATTTTCAGCATTTCCATTTTTCATGGAAATTGTGATTTTTTTTTTCAGGGTTCTTTGATGAATAGAAAATTTGAAAGAACAGCATTTGTTTGAAATAGAAAAATAAATGTTCACTTTCTGTCACTTTTGATAAATTTAATACATCCTTGCTGAAAAAAGTATCCTTTTTTTCTTTCAAAGAACAAAAAAAAACAAAAAAACTTTTGAATGGTAGTGTACATTTTTGGTGGGGTTTATTGGTTAATTATATACTTTTGTCTGGTTAGAATCTCTGTCATTTAGAGTCTGTACTGTACTGCAATAGACACATGTGGATGTCATAAATTCTGCCACTAGATGGCGCTGTAACACAATGCTGCTGGTTTCTTTCAGAACGCTCCAGCCAAAGACGCGGCTCCAAGAGAAGCGCTGGTAAGTGATTGTGAGTAAGACTAACTAGCACACGTTACTCTGTACAGGGATTTTATAGGAGTAGAATCAGTTTGAAACAATTAATAATATTTGAATTCAGTTGGTTTGCATTATTTTTACCATATGCATTGAACGCAATAGGAAAAAACAGAATTGTTAGCAAAAATGGTATTTTGTACTGTTCTTACTGTTATTTACATATTTACATATTCATTGCTGCCTTTATTATATTGCTGTTTTTGTAGAAACAATAACTGCTGTATTTTACACAGAATTTACTACTTTATTAGTCTTGTTGGAGTCTATAGGTACACTACTGTTCAAATGTTTGGGCTCAGTGAGATTTAATGTGTCCTTTCTGAGAAAAAAAAAATATTTAAGGACACATTAAATTGATCAAAAGTGACAGTAGAACATTTCTGCTTCAAACAAATGCTGTTTATTTGAACCTTATACTAAGCACCATTTCCACAAAAATATTAAGCAGCACAACTGTTTTTAACATTGATTATAATAAGAAAATAAGAATAAATTTTTCTTGAATCAGCATATTAGAATGATTTCAGAAGGATCATGTGAAACTAAAGACTGGAGCAATGGCTTCTAAAAAAAATCAGCTTTACCATCAAAGGAATAAATTACATTCCAAAATATTAAAATAGAAAATGTTTAGTTTAAATTGTAATAATATTTCACAAATTTACAGTTTTTATTGTATAAATGCAGCCTTGGTGAGCATAAGAAACTGTTTTCAGAAACATAAAAAAAAATGTAACTCCAAACTTGTGAACAGTAGTGTATGACCATGATTTTTCATTGATAGAATGTAATTCTCAACATGTCAAAGGTGTCATTCACTGTGATTTTCTGAAAACAATTGACCATCAATTAGTAGATGATTTGCTAGCAGGCAGTTTTGTGTTCACTGGATATGATTGGATATGAATATGAGTAATGCTCACCCATCCTCAGTAGCGGAACTGCTCTCTATATTGTATTGCTTTTAAACTAGGAAGTCCTTGGATTATCTATGGCACATTTACTATCATTGGACAATTAGACTGTGTATTGTGCGGTTTTGTGTGATGTGATTTTCCACTATGAATGATATCTAGCCATGCTCAAAGCATTGTCCTTTACAGCGGGGAAAAATGTTGATTATTAAGGCTTCTTGGCTTTCTAACTGCTTGACAAGTCCCCCTTTTTTTCCTCTGCTTTTCTCTTTTTGATGAGCTGCTCTTTCCCAGTTAAGTGGATTATTACAGCTCTGGATAATTCATGTCGCAAGGCATTATTTGGATGGGGTGAATAATTGAAATCTGTGTCTGAAAGGATTTGATGTGGATGAGCGGAAGGGCTGGAGGGAGGCCCTGAGCGCGAGTGCCGGGGTGTCAGGCTGGGGACAGCAGTCACGTTAACAGGTTCTGACTCACCTCGCCGGATGGGCGGCCCTCGCTCCACGGTGGTAGGCGACTCTGGCTGGAGTCTGAGCCAGAGCAGGTTTGGACCTGCGCTGCACTCTGGCCTGTCAGTCAAACCCAGTACCAGTCGTGTTCTGGGTTGAGCTCTCGCCTCTAGGGGCTGTCCTTCCTGGCCTGTCCCTCTCCCACACACTGCGCAGTGCGCACTACTTCATTAATTCTTTATTTAACCGCCCCCTCACTTTTTCCTTTTCTTTCCTTTCTTCTCATTTCCTTTCCTTCCTGTTCCTTTCCTTCTTCATTTCCTTTTTCACTTTCATTTTTGTTCTTTTCCTTTTCTTTCCATTTTCACTTTTATTTTCATGTCCTGTACATTTCCCTTTTTTCCACTTTTATTGCCCTTTGCTTATGTTTTTCCCTTTACATTTCCCTTTCCTTTTCATTTCCATTATTTTTCTTACTTTTACTTTTTTACCTCGTCTTTGCCTTGTTTATTTCCTTTAGTTGTGTTCTTTTCTTTCCATTTTCACTTTCTTTTTCTTGTCCCTTTACATTTCCCTTTCCTTTCATTTTCTTTACTTTCTGCTCTTTGTCTTTGCCCTTTTTCTTTTTTCCTTCTACATTTTCCTTTATTTTTCTCCTTTTCTGTTCTTTTCATTTGCATTATTTTTCCATTACTTTTGTGCTCTATGATTTTCCCTGTTTCTTTTTACTTTCAATTCCATTTGCCCCGCAAATTTCCCTTTACATTTCCATTTCCATTTCCTTTCATTATAATTTCCTTTTCCTTTCTTTACTTTCTGTTCTTTGCCTTTTCCATTTTTTTTATTTTCCCATGTACATTTTCCTCTTTATTTCCCTTTCTTTTTCTCTCCTTTATTCTTATGATTTCCTTTCTTTTCTATTTCCTTTTCCCTTCCCTTCCCTTTTTCCTTTCCATTTTTTGCCTTTTCCCTGTCCTTTTCCTCAATCTGTTCCTTTTCCTTTTCCTGTTCCCTTTCCGTTTTCTTTTTCCCCCCAGTCTACATCTGAAAGTCACAACCATAGGCATATCAGCATTGAGGTTGCAAAGGGGTATAAAGCCTCCAGAAAACTTTTTGGAAAATGTTCACAATTTTCAATTTTCACAAAATTCCACAAATTTTCAGAACGTTTCCAAAAAACCTGAAATTGTCTGGAAATTTTCTGCCTTTTTGCAACCCTAATCAGCATTTATTATTAAATCACAAAATGCCCATACATTCCCAACTGAGTAACATGCCTGAATTTACATGTAGCAACAAAAGCCAACGATTTAACCATATTCAGGCTTGGTAGAGTTAAAAATCAACCCCCTAAATCACCTCAGGCTGTCAGAGAACCATGTTTGTCAGCTCTCTTGTTTGCCTTTTCGACTTCTGTGGTGGGCTTTCTGCCTCAAAGGTGTGTGAAAGGTTAAATATCTTTCCCTCCAGTGGTGTTTTGCGGTACCCTCCTGCGATCTACCGCCAATGACTGTAACACTCAGCGTGTTGGCATGGTAACTGCCGGCTCCATGGGACGCTCTCCCATCCTCGCTCTGCCTGCTGGGGCTCCACCGTGCGCCCCAAATATCACTGGCCTCCTGTGGAAAGAGCGAGGGATGCAGGAGCAGAGGGAGGAGGTGAAAGGAGGATGGAGGGGGAGCAAAAAAAGGAAAGTTGTCAGAAGAACATCCCGCTCTCGCCACAACTTCAAAAGCTCCCCTTCCCCAGGATATTAAGCAACTGTGATGAAAAATTTAGCAAGCGTTAAATAAGGCGCTTTGAAGTGATCTGTTTTGGCTCGGCAGTCTCTGAATTTCCGGAGCCCCTCTGCTATCACCACCATGCTGGAAAAAAAGAGACAACATCCCTAAAGCCTAGGAATTGGGGTCTGCCTGACGAGATGCCAATGTTGACATTATAGCCAGTGGCATTGGTCATTGCGTTGACTTGGCGCTCATTTACACCATTATTTTCTTTATATCGTACACCTAGCTGTTGCCACTTGCGCTCCAGGCATTGGAATTAACACACCTGTTGCTCGAATATTGGTTTTGAAATATGCTTCCACCTTGCAGGGATTTGCGTAAAATAACACAGATGGCAGAAAGAATAGGTGATCCACCAGGAGCATTCATTTATAGGTGAGGTTTGATCTGTGGGTCACTGTAGACATTTTGGGACAGCATTTGTCTTTTGTTTCAATTTCTTTGGTTCCTGATTACGAAACTTGAAAGTTAATTATTGAGGGAATGAGGGGTGGTTAGCCAGTAATAACCCAAAAGACTTACTCTGTGCTCACTTTCAAACGGTGCTGCAATTTAATTTGCCTTGGGATCCATCCTCGGACTTTTCTCTTTTTTCCTCCCCTTTGCTCAGTACTTTAATTGTAATTGTAATCCTTTATTGGAGCTGTCTGCAGTAAAGGAGAGTTATGGTTGGCATGGGGGCACGGGCCACAGAGATATTTCATGATTGTTGGGGATGATGGTCACTAGGTGGGGATGAGCGGGCCAATGAGGGGTCTCTCAGTCTTGAGAGATTGCCTTGAGGATCTGACTGGTTTGATTGAAGCAGCACACCTTGGCAGAACATATTTTCCAAAGGTGCCAGTGCCCAATCTGTTTCCTGTTCCCAGCATTTCACCAATGTTTTTGGCTGGAAAAAGTAATTCCGTCCGCACCAAAGCCTTATTAAATTTACCTTATGTTTGTATGAAATCCTTCTGGGAAAAAAGAGCTAATATCTTATGTGTAAATAAATTGCTATGAATTAAAATATGTATGTAAATATACACTACCTTTCAAAAGTTTGGGGTCAGTTCGATTCTTGCAAGGACGCATTAATGTGATTACAATTGAGAGACATTTATAATGTCACAAAAGATTTCAATTTCAAATAAATGCGTTCTTCATCAAAAAATCATGAAAAAATGTATCACAGTATTTTTTACTTTTGCAGCCTTTTCAAAACAAGAAATCTTACCTACCCTGAACTTGGGTAAAAAATAAAAATAATAAAATACATACAGTGTATATATATATATACAGTGGGTATGGAAAGTATTCAGACCCCCTTCAATTTTTCAATTTCTCTTTGTTATATTGCAGCCATTTGCTAAAATCATTTAAGTTAATTTTTTTTCCTCATTAATGTACACACAGCACCCCATATTGACAGAAAAACACAGAATTGTTGACATTTTTGCAGATTTATTAAAAAAGAAAAACTGAAATATCACATGGTCCTAAGTATTCAGACCCTTTGCTGTGACACTCATATATTTAACTCAGGTGCTGTCCATTTCTTCTGATCATCCTTGAGATGGTTCTACACCTTCATTTGAGTCCAGCTGTGTTTGATTATACTGATTGGACTTGATTAGGAAAGCCACACACCTGTCTATATAAGACCTTACAGCTCACAGTGCATGTCAGAGCAAATGAGAATCATGAGGTCAAAGGAACTGCCTGAAGAGCTCAGAGACAGAAACAGAGATAGCCTTAATGAAAACCCAGTCTAGAGCATTCAGAACCTCAGACTGGGTGGAAGGTTCACCTTCCAACAGGACAATGAC